TTGCTATACATTGTTGATTTCACATGACATTTCACATGGTATAGCTAAAGCTAGGTTTATTTGTCTTAATAGTATTTTAACTTAACGAGCATAGTTATACTGTTAATCACATTAGTACAATCCCATGGAAATCATCACGGGTTACAGAGACATAAATGAAGGCAGGAGTTTGGCCCATTATATTCTGGAGGCAACATAATTTAATAGCATTTCTGCCCAGTTCCCAACCAAGAGAATATAATTCTTTTGGGCAGTTACTGATAGGTGGTTAAGCTAACTATTCTTGTAGTGCGTGTATCTTGTTGCAGAAATTGTACGTTTAGGTAACAATGCAATGTATCATTTTACCAACTATAACTCTAACCTTAATGAGCAATTTAACTTACTGTATGGCAGCTTTAATTTAGTATGAGCAGTTGCATTAAATGAACCATATTACAGACCCAATTAGACAGCAACCACATTAAAGTGAAAAAGTAAATCTGTTTTCCATCAGCAGTGATAGAACGCAAAGCAGATCTGTGTAGCTCTATGTTATCCTATAGTGTGTTAATCAGATACAAGGTGTGACGGAAACCAGTGACAAAGGGGACCCCTGATAGGGAACAGACACGGTCTGATAATAGTCCAGTTAACGCTTCATAATGTTTCAGTTGTTCAACAGTAAATAAAGTTGGATGTAGAACTTCAAAAAGGATGGCGCATTCCATTCAGAATCAAACCATACATCTTCCATGACGCTTGGGGATTTATGGGAACAGAATGCTACAGAATGCTTAAAACAGTGATGTCAGAAGGTTCCAAGGAGAATAAAATCAACCTCCAAGTATTCTTCCCTTTTATATAACAGCATATAAAATGCTCAGCTCCTTACAGCATGTAGAAAAAAATTAGAAAGACCAACTCCACCCATGCTCCCACACCTACTTCACCAGTGGTCTAACATCTGAAAGGTCTGATGGACTTGGCCATTGTTAGTGTGTGCCATAATCTTACTAGTCTTCATATTTCATTTCTTGAAAAATGGTATCTTCAAGTGAAGAAGGCTTTTAATGGTTCTGAATTTAAGTCCTACAAAACATTTTTAGAAATTAACAAGTTTTTAGGGGTTCTTGGGAGTTGCTTTGATCTTAACTTATTTGTTTTAGTTTCCCTGAACCTTCACCTCTAGTCATATGACCCTGGATTTTTTCTTTTGCACCAAACTCTTGAAGTTTTTCCATAATGTCACATTTTCCTGTGGAGAATATACAGAAATTATGGCCTTCATGCAGCAGTAATAGAATGAGATTCTCAGCTCTGTTACGTAGGATGTCAGACTGCATGACTATAACTAGATTCTTCAAGCTTTAAAATCTATGATCACTGCCACAGATAGAATCCTGGACAAAATGGACCATGGTTCATATCCGGTATGGCAGTTCTTTTATTCCTAAAACCCAGAAGCCTTATACTTACTTTGAACATTTTAGAAAAGCACCAAAATTTACCTGAGATGATAAATGTGGTGTTACCTTAAAAACCACATGTATACCAAAGAGACAGTTGGCTCCATGCCAGCGTAATTCACCAGTCCTCTGCCAACTTTTGACTGAGATTTAAAGAGAAGATATAATAAGTCTTTTGTGTTCAGCTGTTATATCTGACAAGCAGCTTTTATAATGCTGTGAAGCTGAACTGCTTGTGCAAATGAGATCAAGATCAAAATTCAGGAAAGGATGAAGATATTTGTATGTGCCATTTGTTAAATGTGAAACTAGGAATGAAGCCATCAGCAGTGTTCCTGTTGGGGACCTTTTAAAGTAAACAAGCCAGTGCGAAAACTATTTAATTTTTTTACAAATTAATCTAATTTGCTATTTGTTTATTTTTTTCCTCCTTGTAATCATCGTTTCTGGGAATGGTTTTCTTGGGATTACAGAACAGCTGCTGGCAGTTACAAGGTGTTTCTCTAAAGTTTAAAAGGAGCTTAAGACTGCTGAGGGTTGACATAATAGATAGCCCACAGTTTAACTCTGGCAGACACAGATACAGCAAAGGAAATGTTTCCAAGATGCTGATCAGATGTCATCACCAAAAGTTGCACCCTTTCATTTTTCGCATATCACTTTATAAATCTTCCTGGAGATGAACTTACCTTTTCTGAGGATTTTTTTTTTTTTACTTTGTGCTGCTAGTTCTAGATTTTTCTTTCATTAAAAATGAATTACAGCAAGAAGGAAGTGTAGGACCCATCTATTATTCCTCTTCTTTATCTTAAGCATGTTGCGGTTATATGTGGATAACAGGAATTCACATTGCAGTGTTTGTCTTCCATGCTTGAAGCCATCGAGGGCTCTGAAAGCCTGGTGATCCAGTGTTTTGTGTACATAAAGCCATGGAGCAGACAGTGGTTTGAATCACAGCCTCTTGTGCTCCAGGATGGCAGGAGAATGAAAATCCCAGGGGCCTAGTGACCAATGTATAAATAGGATAAGAAATAAAATCTAAGATACGTTTTCAAAAGTTTAAATCTGTGCCACAGATGTGTTTGTGGAAACCAACCTCTGAAGGTGTGTGCATTGATGAGCTTTCAAAATGGGAAATCCATATCCTGCCTTGTGCCCAAAGAAACAAGGCTGCTTTACTCCCATTAAAACAGAATTCTAAAATCCATTAGTAATGGAAAAGCATTTCTGATGTTGCACAATGCAGTATGGTTCCCTGTGAAGTCTTAGAAGCTCAAAATGGAAGCTCAAATGTTCCTCCAGACGGGGAAATGAACCAGGCTTGTCTCTTAGGCAGGGTTTGAGTTACAGGGGAGCTGTGGTGGGGAGGGTTGAGCCCTCCCCATAAGAAATTGGAACAGCCCCCCTTCAGAAATGAGAACCACCCCGCAGGCCGGTCAACAATCCTTTCCCCCCCACACCTGCTGCCTCAACAGCCCGGAGCCCATGTGCCAGCACACAGAACCTTGGGCCCACCCCGCACCTTTCTAAGCGACTCAGGTGGTGGGGACTCCTTCTGGCTGCCACTGCTGCTAGCCCCAGCCCTGCGGTACTGGTGGGGACCTGTGCGCACAGCCCTGACCCCGGCCAACTTGTTTTTGCAGGACACCCCCTCTTCCCCCCCAAGTCGAATTGTAATTTGAATCCTGCTCTTAGGGACTGACCCAGTAACTACTGAGCATAGTGAATCAGGCCCAGAAAGTGAGAGCTAACCTAGGTTAATACCAGTGCATGTGAAATAATTTGGAGATTAGGTTGGTTTAATACCTTGCTTGAATTCAATTTTAGGGGCAACCAGATGTTTAACTTAAGGTCATTTGAATTAGTGTCTCATTTCACCACTGTTTTATCCTGAGTTAGCCAAATTCATTTAACAAACTTTTTTTTTCTTAGTACTGTAGGCATACCGGTAGGATGTGGAGAAGGCCTCTTGGAACTTGTTTCTCCATTTGGAGAAAAAATGGCATTGTGTAATATTTTATTTTCTATTGGCAAATCTGTGCTCCAGTTTACAGTCCCCAAGAAGATGGATATTAACAACTGCTTATCATTTACTCCGTGTTTTGTATCTGCGCACAGATGTGGTAGTTGGCTTTGGTAATGCCTAAAGGTGTTTCCTGAGGCTAGAAGCTTGAACCCTCTTTTTCTGTTGGCATTAGGAAGATTAAACGTGGCTCACCACTGAAAAGTGACCACAAACACATTGATATTCAACATGCATTGTAAATTTT